ATATATTAGTCATCTAATCTTATTAAATTACTGTTACATATCTGTTACTGAATCCGGCTAATTTTTATCAGGTGTTTTAGAAATTATGATAATAGCTGTAATGCAATATTTAATTAGGTTAGTTGACCCAGTTGACCTGAATAATTCGGTTGACTTGAATAACTTGATTGACCCAAATAATTTGGTTGACCTGAATAATTTGGTTGACCCGGTTGACCCGAATAACTCAGTTGACCCGGTTGACCCGAATAACTCAGGTCAACCGAATTAGCCAGGTTAACCGATCTAACCAAAGCAATACGGTTAACCCGATTATATCTGGGTAAGTCAACTCGGTTAACCGATTAGGAATTTTTTACCCGGTTCAAATCATTATTTTAAATACCGATGCCATAGAAGAAGTTGGTGATGCAGATGAAGTTGGTGACATGGCTGCTATTAATAATGATAAGATAGGTGCTGTAGCCATAGTTAATTCAGATGTAATGGTCAATCTAGCAGTAGATCTCACAGGTGTCGTGGTAGATCTCGCAGGTGTTGTGGTAAATCTCACAGGTGTTGTGGTGGATCTCGCAGGTGTTGTGGTAGGTGTTGTGGTAGATCTATTACGTCGTGCTGTGGTAGATCTATTAGGTGCCATAGAACTAGACGTAGGGATAGGTATAATTGGCGTAAAAGGTAAAAAATTTTGGGTATTTATTGATTGAATTGAATCCATAGAAGTAGAGCCTTCTAACTCATTTTGACAAAGAGGGCAAAAAAGTCCCGAACTATTAGTCCAATTACTAATACACTTTTTATGAAAAAAATGTCGACATGATAAAATAGTGACAGATCGTTGGAGTGTTGGACTAATAAAATCTAAGCATATACAACATTTATCATTTTCGTTTATATCAATAGATTCAGGAATTCTTTCAGGTGTATCTTGAAAAACAATTTTAAATAAAAATCTTTTTAAATTTTCCATTTGAGCTTGATAAAATATAAAAAAAATTAACAAATAGCATATTTAAATATAGTAGAGCTTTGAAGATTTATAATTAAAAACTTTACTTTATGTTCTCCTATATTAGTAATAATATTATTAAGAAAAAAGCCCCGCATTATTAAATTTAACTCTATTCTAAAAAAAATTATTGATTGTTTGTGATCGAATCTAAAGGATTGGACCCTTAATTAAATAAGAATATGGTTTTTTTTTCGTGGAGGCAATGTTTAATTATGCTAAATATATAATAAGAGTCTTCTTTTCCTTTTTACTGATTATATTAAGAGGCCAGACCCCTATAATAGTTAATTAGGAGTATCATGACGACTTAGATAATAATTTTTTTTTGTGGAGACAATGTTTAATTATGCCACTATAAGATTTGAGTGCCGATATTACCTTAAATGATTTTTTTTTCATGGAGTAATGTTTAATTATATTATAAGGTTTTTAATGGTTCAAATTCATTCTTTCTCTTTTTACTGATCATACTAAAGGGTAACTGGGTAGGTGCGTACTAAAAGATCTTTGATTAGATCTTTGAAATTCTCTTTGACCAAACTCTGACCACTAAATTATGATTTTTTTTAGAATAGAAATATTAATTCTATGGACGTGACTCTGGATATTGGTTGGTCACGACAGTTGTGTGCGGGGGTGGAGTATATAACACACACACTTTAGTTGGTTTTTTATTCGACCGATCTAATAGAATTATAGGTGGATTTTGAAATTTTTTTCCTCTTTGACTAGGTTGGTTCTTTGGAAACTTGATTGGTTAGTTCTCTTTGACTAAACTCTTGAACCGCTGAATTATAATTTTTTTTAGAATAGAAATTAACCTTGAATTGGTAGTGTTGGTCAAGGTCTTTTCGAGTCTTGCTGCGGCGATACTAGTGTTTCGGATAAGTGTAATCTTTGAATTATATCTTGATTACTTGGTTGTAGGCTTTAGCTGGAAGTCAAAGATAATGCTTTCTTTCAGATTTTGACTTATTGGGGTTCCAGTCTTCGATACAATTGTTAAGATTCTTAACGATTGTCATGTGAATTACGTGTTATTGAGGTTTTGATTTAGAGGTAACAATGACGTAGATCAGAGTTTAATCAATTGTTAATTTGTTATAAAAGAGATTTTGGATCACTAATCGATTCTCTCTCTCTTTCTCTCTTATTCTGAGTGAAAATCGATAGTATAGAAGGTTTTAACAGCGATTTTATCTTATAAGAGCTGAGAGTCAATAAGCATTGCATATGAACTTTATAATAAGTAAAGACTACTGGAGTTTTATATCTTCGAAGTATTTTACTCAACTAACTTCTGTTTTATTTCAACGTGCAAGAAACCTTGTTTATATACTTTTTGATTGAATTTTCTATCGAAATAACATTGGTAATACTTTTGGTTAGTTCTTTGAAATTTAAAACTCTCTTTTGACCAAGAACTCTCTTTTGACCAAGAACTCTCTTTGACCGGGTAGGTATATACTAAAAGTTCTTTGATTGGTTTTTTGAAATTCTTTTTGACCAAACTCTGACCACTAAATTATAATTTTTTTTAGAATAGAAATATTAATTCTATGGATATGACTCTGGACATTGGTTGGTCACAACAGTTGTGTGCGGGGGTGGGGTACATAACACACACACTTTAGTTGGCTCTTTATTTGACCGATCTAATAGAATTATGGGTGGATTTTAAAATTTTTTTTTTCTTTGACTGGGTTGGTTCTTTGAGAACTTGATTGGTTCTCTTTGACTAAACTTTTGAACCGCTGAATTATAATTTTTTTTAGAATAGAAATTAACCTTGAATTGGTAGTGTTGGTTAAGGTCTTTTCGAGTCTTGCTACGGTGATACTAGTGTTTTAGATAAGTGTAATCTTTGAATTATATCTTGATTACTTGGTTGTAGGCTTTAGCTAGAAGTCAAAGATAATGCTTTCTTTCAGGTTTTGACTTATTGGGGTTCCAGTCTTCGATACAATCGTTAAAATTCTTAATGATTGTCACGTGAATCACATGATTATTGCGGTTTCGATTTAGAGTTAACAATAACATAGATCAGAGTTTAATCAATTGTTAATTTGTTATAAAAGAGGTTTTGGATCACTAATCGATTCTCTCTCTTTCTCTCTTATTCTGAGTGAAAATTGATAGTATAGAAGGTTTTAATGGCGATTTTATCTTATAAGAGCTGAGAGTCAACAAGCATTGTATATGAACTTTACGATGAGTAAAAACTACTGGAGTTTTATGTCTTCGAAGTATTTTACTCAACTTACTTCTGTTTTATTTCAAGCGCAAGAAACCTTACTTATATACTTTTTGATTGAATTTTCTACATTAGTAATACTTTTGGTTGGTTCTTTGAAATTTAAAACTCTCTTTGACCAAGAACTCTCTTTGGCCGAGTAGGTGCATACTAAAAGTTCTTTGATTGGTTTTTTGGAATTCTCTTTGACCAAACTCTTGAACCGCTGAATTATGTTTTTTTAGAATAAAAATTAATTCTACAATATGGACGTAACTCTGGATATTGGTTGGTCACGACAGTTGTGTGCGGGGGTGGGGCACATAACACACACACTTTTAGTTGGCTTTTTGAAACTTTAATTCGACTGATCTAATAGAATTATGAGTAGATTTTGAAATTTTCTTTGATTACAACTCTCTTTGGCTGGTAATCTTTGACCAGAACTCTTTTTTGGTGTGTGTACAAAGAGAACTTTGATTTTTTAAAACTCTCTTTGACCAAGAACTTTCTTTGGCCAGGTAGGTACATACTAAAAGATCTTTGATTGGATCTTTGAAATTCTCTTTAACCAAACTCTAACTGCTGAATAGAAATATTAATTCTATGGACGTGACTCTGGACATTGGTTGGTCATGACAGTTGTATGTGGGGGTGGAGCACATAACACACACACTTTAGTTGGCTCTTTAAAACTTTTATTTGGCTGATCTAATAAAATTATAGATAGATTTTGAAATTTTCTTTGATCACAACTCTCTCTGACTCTTTTTGGTGTGTACAAAGAAAACTTTGATTTTTTAAAACTCTTTTTTGACCAAGCACTCTCTTTAACCGGGTAGGTATATACTAAACATTCTTTGATTGGTTTTTTGGAATTCGCTTTGACCAAACTCTTGAACCACTGAATTATGTTTTTTTTAGAATAGAAATTAACTCTTTGGACTTTGGTTGGTTACGACAGTTGTGTGCAGGGGTGGGGCACATAATACACATACTTTAGTTGGCTCTTTGAAACTTTTATTCGGCCGATCTAATAGAATTATGGGTAGTTTTTGAAATTTTCTTTAATCACAACTCTCTCTGACCAGTAATCTTTGACCAGAACTCTTTTTTAGTGTATGTACAAAGAGAACTTTGATTTTTTAAAACTCTCTTTGACCAAGAACTTTTTTTGACCAAGTAGGTGCATGCTAAACATTCTTTGATTAGTTTTTTGAAATTCGCTTTGACCAAACTCTTGAACCGCTGAATTATAATTTTTTAGAATAGAAATTAATTCTACAGTATGGATGTGACTCTGGACATTGGTTGGTCACAACAGTTGTGTGCGGGGGGTGGGGCACATAACATACACGCTTTTAGTTGGCTCTTTGAAACTTTTATTCGGCTGATATAATAGAATTATGGGTGGTTTTTGAAATTTTCTTTGATCACAACACTCTTTGGCCGATAATCTTTGACCAGAACTCTTTTTGGTGTGTATACAAAGAGAACTTTGATTTTTTAAAACTCTCTTTTGACCAAGAACTCTCTTTGACCGGGTAGGTACATACTAAAAGTTCTTTGATTGGTTTTTTGGAATTCTCTTTGACCAAACTCTTGAACCGCTGAATTATATTTTTTTAGAATAGAAATTAATTCTATGGACATGACTCTAGACATTGGTTTGGGCACATAATACACACATGCTTTTAGTTGGCTCTTTGAAGCTTTTATTTGACCGATCTAATAGAATTATGGGTGGATTTTGAAATTTTCTTTGACTAGAGAGAACTTTGATTGCTCTTTGAAACTTTGATTCGACTGAGTGGACATATACTAATAGGTGGATTTTGAAAATTTCTTTGACCAGAACTCTCTTTGGCCGGTAATACTTTGGTATGTGACTCCAGTTGTGTGCATAACACACACTTTAGTTGGCTCTTTGAAACTTTGATTCGACCGATCTAATAAATTTTAGTGGATTTTTTTTCTTTAACCTGGGCTCAGTAGATAGAACTTTGGTTGGTTCTTTGAAATTCTTTTTGAATGGATGTGTACAAAGAGAACTTTTTCTTTACTAGGTGGTGCATACTAATAGATCTTTGGTTTGTTTTTGCAACTCGGATGGGTATATAGAACTTTGGTTAATTCTTTGAAATTTTCTTCGGGGTACATATTAATTGATTGAGTAGTATATATAATTTTTTATTTATCATATCTTTTTTCAATATAATAAACTTTTATTTTTTTGATATATTTTATGATAAATAGTTTATAATTTTCTATATAATAAAAGTAATTCATCATTAATTTTTTTATTTGAAAAAAATAATACCTCCATATAAAACTTTACAACCCATCTTTTCTAATGAAGAAAACTGCATTAATTTTTTGTTTGAACGTGGAATTCTTGATAAAGAACCAATATGTTGTTAATGCAGAGGGCCTACAACTCAATAAGAAAAATTGTTTAAATGTAAACGTAAAAGTTGTCAAAAAGCAGTGTCAATTTTTAAAGAATCGTTTTTTTATAAACGAAAATTAAAAGTTAATAAAATACTTCAAATTGGATACTATTGGCTCACAAAGATGTCACATGGTTCTATTATGACTATTACTAGATCTTCTGCACATAGGGTTACCAATTATATAAACCTCTACTAAAATCTTGTTGGCTTTAATATTCACAATAAGCAAAATTTAATTGGCAGGCCTGGTATAATAGTTGAAGTAGATGAAT